CTACGCTGGCTGGCACTTATAATGGAACAGAGTATAAAAAACAGTAGTGGGGAAGCTTATTGATGCTTGTTCACAACGCGAGCTAAGTATTCTATTTTGCTCGCCTGGAGCGCTGCTCAAAGCTTGAGAGCTACGGGCCTATCGTCTATTCGAGGCGAGAAGCTTGGGTCCGCCACCTAGGCCGGTTTTCTCGAAGCGATGGTGAAGCCATTTTGGTAAACCACGGAGTCTATACTTCGTTTCAGCTTCGGTCCAGACGCAGCCGATGCTGCAAGCGCTAGCATGTTGCCCAGAACAGTGCTCGCACTGCACGAGCGCGCGTGCTTGGCAGGGATGCTGAAAGCCCGGAGCTCGCGCTTGTAGCTTTGGCTGCGTCTGGACCGAAGCTGAAACGAAGTATGGGAAGGAAAAAGTACCTAGGTACTGTAATAAACGGCTGGATATAGAACAGCAATAATTATTTTTGATTGAGCAGTAAGATGCGCCATCTATCGGTGAAACAAGCCAGTCGTTTTGTTCATCCTCTTTTTCCGCTGGTTGTTATCGATCTAGTACGGTATTTTAAGTCAAAATATAGTAATGTTGTACTTGAAGACCAATTTATTTGCTTCAGATGGTACGAAGAAATTTTAGCTACTATGCTAGAGTTTATCGACGAATATTCGAAAATGTAAGAAAACTTTCCTTCAATATGTTTCGCCATAAACAACGCATAACTTTCCCATGTGCCTTCCAGTCTGGCAACGCCGGTGCAGTAGTCTCGCTTTTGTTCCTTGCGACGCACGTTTCTGCGATTCCTGCAGATCTCAACTGTTTGCCCACTCTTCCGTTTGCCCAACCGATCCACCGGTAACGAGAAGCTAAGCTTGTCGTCACTATAGAAACCTCAATGCTGTCGGCATACTGTCGGCGCACTGCGAACAACAAAAAAAAAAAAGAGTACAATGTCCCAGCTGTTCACCCGGAACGAAGACTTTATTGAGGATAACCCCCTTTCTCCGCAAAGTAATCGCTGATTACGAGTTGGCGTGCATAGTGTAACAAATTAAACGTGTTAGTATAAATATAGGCCAACACTCGTTCGCAAAACATTTTTTTATTCACCATAAAAACACTTGCAATGCTTATGTACCGTCATATATCTTGGATCCCGGACTGCTGAAGAGTGATGCGTTCGCGGAATGCTGCCGTCTGTTAGATTAGTAGTCCCTCTGAACTACCGCTCTGCTTGACGTGCTTATAGGTTGATGGTGTGTCAGTAATATAACAGCCGGATTGAAATGAATGTTTAGCAGAACCAAGCAGAACTATTAGCCCTCATTTAGCGACGTCGCGGCCATTTTGCTTGTAGGTATTGCTTCTCCCTCGGCGCCCCTGCCCTCCCCAGTCACGTGACCTAGAATCCCCTCTTCTAGGGACAATAGCTAACTTTAAAGGGATACTGAACCAAAAAATTTAGTGTCCATAATAAGTGGCGCACGTTCTTTCCACGAGCTAGCAGCCGCCGGTGTGCGCGAGCACACGCAACAAAAATGACGTCACAGACCTCCATTCGCGCTTAAGAGGACAGTGAAATGCACGGGCTTCGGGCCAAAGGAGAATAAAGACAGGCTTTTCATCTCTACAAGTGGAAGCTACGTGCTTTTTAGACCAATTAATCGCCTACCTTTTACACCAGACACCACTGTGTAGATGAAAAACTTGTCCCTATTCTCCTTCGGCCCGAAGCCCATACATTTTACTGTCATCTTAACCGCAAATGTCATTTTTGTTGCGTGTGCTCGCGCACACCGGGCCGGCTGCTGGCTCGTGGAAAAGAACGTGCGCCACTTATTATGGACACTAAATTCCTTGGTTCAGTATCCCTTTAACCCACGGTTCGCGTTCGAGAAAACGGCCCCTGGGGGAATGTTTTCACTGCCCAGAATTAGGATACTTCAACTTCATCTGCTGGTGCAAGTGCAAGCACGCGAAATGCCAGGTTTCTATGCACTATAAAAATAACAACACAACGGCAGGGGTAGGGACGTGTACCGCCCATAGACCCGTTGCTCTGGGGCAGGGGGCGCGAGCGCATCCGCAAAACGCGACCATGTTATGATGGCTGAATCATCCAGGTGGCCCTGTAACATTCGATTTTGCACGTGCCACGTTCGAATGCAAGCATCTGAACGATAACAAAACCTCTAAAAAAAAAGTGAATTATGCAGCTTGCGGCCGCAGCGTCCCATTAAACATTCCTTTCATCTTTGCCTTCGTTCATAGCTTCCGCGAGCACGTATGTTTCACTTTACGTGATAGCGAAGCCGAAGCTACTCGCAAAAACACGTCCTCCTGAAAGATGCTCGCACTGCGCGAGCACGCGTGCTTGACAGGGACGCTGAAAGCTCGCAGCTCGCTCTTGTAGCCTCTGCTGCGCTGGCACTTAGAATGAACGGAGTAGAAAAAAACCCACGTGGGGAAGCGTATGACGCATGTTCGAAATTCGAGCCAAATATTCTATTTTGCTCGCCTGGAGCGCTGCTCAAAACTTGAGAGCTACGGGCTTATAGGGAGGAAAACAGCAGCACCCTCCATGAGCTTCTCACCGTCAATACTAGCATGCAACTTCACTAACCAAGAAACTCCTTTGTTGCGGTGTAATTTCAATGGCAAAAGCGAGCGCCTTTTTTTAGTTTCTCCTTCGCAAAACTTGAATGGGGGGGGGGGGGGGGAAGGAGGGGAGGGGTCGCTTTATATCTTTGTGACGATATTTGAATACGGTGCATAGATTGCACCCGATCATTGCTTGAGCCCTCGATTTGGGCTCGTGAAAAATCAATAGCTCGACAAGCGCTCGCGTAGCGGCCAATGTCCAATCGCTGCAATGGCCGACGATAGTCGAGCCGAACCAATGTCTGGAACTTAAAGCGTGTCCTGTGCTTTGCCAACCCCAGCGCGTTGCTATGACCAACATTGACGACAAAATATCGGCTCCAAATGACGTGGCCGCTAGTTCTGGCTACACGTGATGGTAGTCTGATGACGTTAACATTTTTAAGTTACCTATGTACACACTCATCGTCTAAACCGCTCT